GCGAAGGTGGTAAAGTACAGACGGCTCCTAGGGTGTACTCTCACACTAAAGACAAATTAGAGTGACATTAGAGTTTCCATGAGGTGGTTGCTGAATCGTCACTTCAACATGTAATATGGAGCCTTAAAGACGGTAAGAAGGATTTGCTGTGTAAAGGATTTTCAATATGAAACGAAATAATGTGTAAAGTGAATACATTTGATCCTACATTCGACAAAAGGTGGAGGATACATTCATAATTTTGTTGTCATGTACATTAGAAAGTGCATTTTCCGCACTTCGAGAATAATATGTTAAGGAATATCTTTATAAAGTTATAGTTAGGCAAATAGAAAAAAAACACGTATAAATGAATCCTTCCATTTTTTCCGTTAGCATCTATAAGAGAAAATGTATTTTATGCATTACATTTCAAATACTAATGTAACTGCATTTGTGCTGCGACTGCAAATTCTTGTTTGCCGCAGTAATTTGAAATGAATTTGAATATTTCTTTAGGTTTCTTTATGAAACTACTCGCCCTTTGAAAAATACATATAACAGAGAACTAAGCATATCTTCTTTAAGAGGTCACACGCCACAGTCGTGTGTAAACACCCCTTTTCCTCTTAAGCAAGTCTATTAAAATTAATTATCGAAATATCGATCCGCTAAGTGACTCCCGTCCGTTGGTAATCAATGTCTCCCTCATTAACCTCTTCCCCAGTTTTGTGTCGGGAAGTTCACCGTGCTTCGTTCATGCCGTCTCAGGGCTCTTTAACACTGACCTCGCTCGGCCAGTTTGCGACAGGGTCTCTCTTGCTGCAGACTTTGCGAATGTGCTTTTTCAGATCTAGCAGTGTAAATATTGCCAGGAGTAACATTTACACCTAAACAGAAAATTCCGGGATCTTTTATTCTGAATGTAGGCCTATCGTTCTCTTGTTTGCTCGTAATGCAAGTCAACTCACAGTGCAAATGTTTATTATTTAAAATGATAGCCGGATTTCATTATCTTATGTTATTAGTATTTACAATCTATGTAAATTGCAAATATTTGATACAGGGCAATTAGAATAAAACTTTATCTTTCAAGTAAAATGAACTTGATTCTAATCTACTGTCGCGCATATTTTGCTGAAAAATGAACGTTGATAGTCTGACACTGTGAAAGTTATAAAATAAGATACAATAATGCCATAATACAATTTGTATATTGTCAGGAACGATATCTCTATTTCTAGAAAAGCAGCTTTATGAACTATAAAGGTGAACAATAGAATGCTCTCCGGAGTCATTACTGCATTATTTATATCATAGTAAATTAACAAGCCACAAGCTTATTTCGCCCGTGATATTTAGAGGTCAAAACATCTACGTAGTGGATATCAGTATCTCAGTCTACTGTCAACATATTTTAGAGCTCCCTCCACTTTCCCGAATAGCTGCACATCAGCACTATCTTACTCAGTGCTTCCCCACCAATCGGTTTGAAAATCAGCATGCTGTTCTGGCAGTTCTTCCTTTGTCTGTTTACTCTTGCAGATTTAAGGTCCTTGTCACGTGCATGTTAATGAACCAACCCTCATCTTGTGTCCTCGGACTAATGTTTTTCGTATTCCAAATACTGTCTATATTTTCGTATTCTTTAGGTAGATAAGCCCCACCATGCAAGCAAGGTTAATACTACTTCATAAATATCGTGGTAGATGCATATTTAGACCGGTTTTGTATTTTGCTCTTTTTCAGAACAAACATTAATAGAATTAACTGTATCAATGACTTTGTTTTTCATATTTTAAAATTTATTCATTTGCTTTAAATAACTAGATATATCTATCGCTAAAGTTGCATTGCAATATAACATCAAAAATATTTATGTATGATGTAGCACGAAGTCGTCTCACGAGTAGACGTCTGTGCGGCGCCTCACATCTGAGGGTGGTGACATCGATCTTTTTAATTATCCTTCGCCGGAGGATAACGGTTTGGCGACGTGGAATGTGGCTGCTATAGTTTACGGCGAACGGAAATGAAAGGAAAGGACTTTTTAACCCGAAGATATAGGTGAGTCACCGAATGTTGGCAACTTCGGAGGTGACTGGAGTAATTCACAAGAGCGTCAACTTTTGCGAACGTCATGACACTGCAGTCATAAGTAGCATATTTAGCAACAAAATAAAGAAGAAATCCACAACCTAGACCTTGTCACCAAGCTTCGGATAATTATCATGCATGTTGAACTGAGCGAATAATCTCTTGCATACATTGTGTTTAGTTGTGTGCCGTAATTTCTCCTCTCTAGGTCTTTATCACTAAGCTCTTTTCAGACATTTCCTTGAGAATTTAGATTTTCTAAATGGCGTTGGGAAAGTACATGAGAACCATCCCAAATAATTTATAACATTTTTATTGCTGGTCTGAAAGGTTTAAAGGCGTAATTTTTCAGTGTGCGTGTTACAGAACCATGAATAAACTGGAGTAATTTCAACTGTAAATTAAAAGATGTCTGCGTGCTACT